GACTAACTTAATCTGTACTCTTCCGTTTTGGTGCAATGGAAATTGGGGGTATGTCCAGCCCAGTGCTCTGTTTTCTTTTGTTTAAAGAGGTTTACATATAGTATAATCTTTCATGCTATTTGTCCTTACCGGTGTTAATAGAAAGTTATTAACTGTGTTTTACTCTTAACTTTTTGTACCCAGAACTGTGGAGTTGAAACTGAGGAACCTTTTCCTTTTGGTACTCATATGTACCTTAAATGTATGATCCCATTGCTTACAAAAATGCAGAGCTTTGCATGAGTGATTCGACTTTTGCCTTCTCTTTTTTTCACCGGAGTTGTCAATTCAGTTAATGATTAAATCTATCTTTTTTCACCACACTGTTTGATCCATACTGCGTGCCAATTTTGGTGCTACGTCGGGACCGGAAACATTTTGGATTGTGTTTACCTGATGCCATGTCAGTTCACCAGATCAGGTACTTCAAATTTACCATAATTACTGTGCTATTACATACTTCTAGATCACCCAAACATTTCCCGTTTGTTTCAGGTCATACATTTATGCATGTTGTTTCTTCCCAGATTTAGTTTGTGTATTCTCTGCTGAATCAATTCCTTTCATATTGGGACATCCTGATTTTGAAGCTATCATTGAGTTCCAAAAAAAAGGGTTGTCTTACCTCTTTAACTCTGATATTTTTCCAGTATTCATCGAAATCTTAGTATTTTCCTATGTGCTGTCACCATGTTCTCATTCCTCTCTCAGCATGGTAAGCTCTGTACCTGCTGATTCCTCTGCCCACAGCAGTTTTTCTGGAACAAATACCCCACAGGAGTAATGCCTGCTTTTTACCAACCAAGGTTATGTGTTCCATGCCAAAATAAAAAATTCAATGCAGATTAAACTCTTCGTTTCTGCCTTTCGTTACTCGATACTTTAGTGCGATTTTCATGATCATCGTAGGTTATCTAACTTCTAGGACAACTATGAACATAGAATTATTATTTTCTTGCCAGCAATAAAGTTATTTAAATTAAAATAGATCTACCATGTTATCTGATGATGCTGACTATATGTGCATATATAAATGTCTTAAACATCTTTTGCTAATATCTGTGCTAATCTTTCCATTTTGCTTCATAGGTAACTCAGCTACATAGGTGGTGTCCTATTTTATATTATGCAAATAGAGACTGCTCAAAAAAGTGGTGCCTTTATCTCTCATGCTACTAAGTTCAGTTTAGTGTTCAGCCATGAAACTTTTTCGCATTTATAATTGCTTTCTCACCTCAAAATACGTCTTGGGTCACTTAACTTTTACATTGTTGCTTTCCAAACTTACATCTGCTCCTTTTCGCACATAGCAGGCCTTTATGCGGATAAAGTGATGGGTAGCCACACCTTCGATATTTTCTCATGCCTGTTACGTTCCTTCACATCATTCAGCAAGACAGTTTTCACCCTTCTGTTTATGCTTCAGTAATCATGTACTTTGAACCTTTTGGCCCTGATCGGCTTGCTGAAATTTGGCTGAAAAACACGGTTTTGGCTGAAATATTGTGAAAGAAAAATACTTGCTGAAACTTGGTTGAAAAACACGGTTTTGGCTGAAATGTTGTGAAAGAAAAATATAGTTTCGACTGAAAAAAGAAGCCGAACAAGCCGGATTTAAGGTAAGCCGAACGGGACATCTTTTTAAATGTTGATAGCTAAGATATAGGCTGCGTTCGTTGGTGTGAAAACCAGCCGGTTTTCACTGTTTGAGGCTGGTTTCACTGTTCACGCTCTCATAAATTCTTCTAGATTTTTTCAAATTCCTCATAGCGAACAGGCCCATATAGACATGTAATAATAATACTATTACCATCGGTTGGTATTCTTGCTCCTTCCTGCGCAATGCGCGTGGGAACTGACTAGTAGTAGGGTGTTATTTAAATTGGAGTTGCTAGCGCCTGGACATCCGGATGCGCCGCTGCCACCCGTCCTGCGTCTGTCTGCCCATGTCTGGCCTGTTGCGCCCGCCCGCAAGCACGTGGGGCTTGCCCACACCAGTGGAGACCATCTCCATCTGCGCTTGCTTCCCACGTCTGATATTGAGGCGAGATAACATAAAGACGAGAAGAGAGATGAACACCCAATCTATTTTTAAAATATTAGAGCGATAATTGCAACATATGTCTGAAAATAAATGAAACATTTTAAACATGCGTCTGAAACACTTACAAAAACACATGAAAAACACTAAAAACCATTATAAACATATGCAACATCCAGATAAAAACACTTTCATCATGTGTGAAAACATATGCAACATCCAGATAAACACACTTGCAACATACGTCGGAAAAAACAGATGAAACATTGAGAACATGAGCTTGCAACATACATGTATAACTATTGCAACATATGCAACATCCCGATCTAATTTTGCAACATCTATAAGAAACACTTGCAACATTCTTCTGAAATAAATTGAAACATACTCTTGCAACATGCGTTTTTAGCGCAAGCGCAATGTCATCTTGTTGCTTGGACGAATGGAGCTTGACATCGGCGTGGAGCTCAATGCCACGGAGTGTGCAAAGGTCGTCGGCGGCATGGACCTCGGCAGTGGCATGGCAGGTGGATGGAGCACAGCCGCGACGGGAGGCACGAGTATAGGCGGGGGCGCGCCGGCGAGCGGCTCGGACAGGAGCGGCGCTGGCGAGCGGCTCGGCCGGAGGGGGCGCACAGCATAGAGTGGCACGAGCGGGGCACAGGTGAGTGGATGAGGATGAGCCACAAGATCCGGATGGGAAGTCACGGCCACATCCGGACGGGAAGTCACTGGTCGGATGCTCGAGCTATATCATTATCGTATTTAAATTGACCACATGAAAATTTCTTGCTAGATGATGTTCAAAGTTGCTCGTTATTTGATTGTAAATATTCGTTAGGCGTGAGTATAACTTTGTGGAACAGTTATCTATATTTAGGCATTATCTATATCTAATAATAAAAGGCAAAATTTCAGTCTATTTTTTGGTCCGTGTCCATTTTTTTTTGTCAGTCTCCCTCTAACTATCAGATAATGGAAATTTTTTTTCCATCCGGACTTATATATATAATCCGTACTTATATGTATATCCTAATTTCCTTTATCTGAGTAATGAATAGAAATCCTAAACCAAATAGGAAAGAATATCTCTATTTCTACTCTTCTATCTTTATTCGATTTCCTGTTTCTTTCCAAAAACGTTCGGACTTTTCTGTTTTTTTTTCCTTAGAGACTATCCGTCGCGTACAAGACGTGAGGGTTTTCCTGTTTCCATATATTTCGTGGATTTTTTTAGTTCCAGTTAGAGTCTTTTTTCTGTTTTGATGTATTTTTTATTTCTATTTTTCCAAGTTACGTCTTTTTTTCAGCTTGGTTTAGAGCCTTATTTTAATGTCTTTTTTATTTATGTTTTTTTTCAGTTTCGGTTGAAATTTGTTCCGTTCAAAGTTCTTTTTCTGTTTTGATGTTTTTTTTATTTCTATTTTTCCTATGTCCGATTAGAGTCCATCAGTGATGAACTTTTTTAATATTAAAGTGCCAAAACTTCGGCCACCAAATTTTTTTGTTTTGCTTCCCGCTTTAATCCTCCGCTTCTGTTCCACAGCCATGATGATATACCAAGAGCCTCATCTCTAACATGGACTCCCATATATGAATCTAATAGGACAAATGGAATACAATACAACGACTCAATAAATTGAATACAAATTGGGTTAAATTGGACACCAATTAAAACATATATACAAGGCACCATATCGGCGGCGCAGGCGGCGCGACACGAAAAGATGCTGAGGTCGAAACGAGAACTACGATGGCACGAGGCGCAGAGACGACTACAAGGTCAGGCAACGGTGGCGCGACCTGACGAGATGGTGCCGTGACTCGTAAGCGAGACCGAGGTGAGGATGAGCGACGGCGATGATGCGGGGTGGGGCGGGGAGACAACGACGCGGATGAGGCTGCTGAGTCGTTGGGGCTTGCGGTCGGCCGGCCACTAGGGCGTCGTCGCATGGAACTGCCGGGCATGGTCATGTCGGGGCTTCATGGCCGTTGGGGTGCTGTGACCGTCAGCCCGTCAAGGCTTCGTGGACGCCTTGGCAAGGCTTCAGGTGGATGAAGTTGGAGGCCTTAGGTGCGAGTGGATGAGGCCTTGCAACTCTGAGCTAGCGGATAATAAGGATAAGAAAGGCGAGAAAAGAAAAAGAAAAAGAATGAAAATAAAAAAGGGTATTATGGGCATTTTTATAGTTTTTACCTAGCATAAGGAGTTTTTTTTACCAAAATAATGTCGAGTGCAATAAAAATATAATGGTGTAAATAAAAAAATTATATCTTTAAAGACAAAACAACACATACATGTCAAGGCTTTGGATGACGGTATAACTTTTCTCCTGTTGCATGCATGGGCATTTTTGCTATCCTGAATAAATCTTGAAGACTGTCGTGTCCACACGAGCTATGAAAAGGGCGCATCTCTAGACATGACACAAAGTACGATTACAAGACGAACTGAAATGCATTGCCCACACGAGCTAGGGAAAGGCTTGGCATAGAGTATGATTAACGGACAAACTGAAATACATTAAGTGCAAGTCGTCTAGGTGACTACGCAATAGCTATATATACCGTTGCAACGCATAGATAAATTTGTTAATATTAAAAAAAAACATTTTTTTTCTAATGTTTAGATGCGTGAGTTCTCAGGTGATACCGTAATCCACTCCTGCCTTGATTTTTCTTCCATCGAGCTGAATCTCAGTCTTACGTGCTTATGAGTCAATGGTGAAGATCATTGCGTGAAAACATACAATATTTCAGGGCGAGTTCCATAAAAATAAAATAAAAAAGACAATGCTTTCTTGATTAGTAATTTTGATTTTTGCACTACTTTTACCTAAACCGCCAGTGGCACCAATGCGCCGTTCGGATATACTACTATACATCTGCATTTCGCACATACAAAGTTCAAAACCCTGTTTCACTGTTTCAGTTTCAGACAGAAAACCGGTGTGGATGGCGACGAGCTGACGTGCGAGCTCACCATGGATGCCGGACTCTTTGGTAGCTCAGCAAGTTCCTGGAAGCGCTGGCCGGCATCGCCTTCGGCAGCTTGGCTGTTGCCGTTGTCGCTCTCGTTCTCCTCCAGCGACCGCCTCATGGTCTCCGGCGTGAACAAGTAGGTGACGGCGAGGCCGAGCAGGCAGATCCCGCCAAGGATAATCAGGGCGTACATCATGCCGATGCCTGGCTCGTACCCTGCCCCTGCCAGAACCTTGCTCCTGTCCCGGTCCTGCGACGCCCACAGGAAGCCGATGGCGCCGATGAGCGCGCCGAGTTTCCCCGCGGCGCCAGATATCCCGTGGCACGTGGACCGGAACCTCGCCGGGAAGAGCTCGGCGGGCAGGATGAAGGTGGTGGTGTTGGGCCCCAGGTTCGCGGAGAAGAAGGTGAGCGCGTAGAGCACGATGTACCACGCGTCCGTCGCGTGGCCGCGCCAGTAACGGTCGTACGGCCCGGCGAGCGCGAAGAGGAAGACGGCCATGAGGAAGAACCCGGCCATCTGGAGCCGGCGTCGGCCCACGCGGTCGATGAGGAGCACGGCGACGATGTAGCCGGGGATGCTGGACGCGACGGCGATGATGGCCTGGAACTTGGCCACGTTGAAGGCCTCCTGGAACGCGTTCACGTGCTCAGCCGGCGGGAACCACGGGCGGTAGATCTGGGACTGGAACAGCGTGCTGCTGTAGTAGGGGATGTCGAGAAGGAACCACGCCGACGCGCACGCGAAGAGGTCCCGGCCGTGCCGCCGGAGGAAGCGGCGCGAGAAGAGGCCGTACGACGACGCCGTCGTGAGGCCGAACTGCGCCGGAGGAGTCGTGCGGCGGAAGGCGGCCACCTCCTCCTCGGTGATCGAGGCCAGGTCGAGGTCGGCGAGCACGCGGCCAATGTCGTGGGTTGCCTTCACCACGTCGTGCTCCACAAGCGCTGTAAACCTGCAGTTATTGTAAAAGTATATTATGTAAAATTGGTATGACCTATGATTTATTGATCTTGCTGATATATAGATGGAAACATGTATAGAATTTGCTGTATTACTAGAATTGCTTGATCATATCAATCACTGGTTGTACTTGTAAGCCATGTCAGGGCTATTCTTGACTCAAATTAAGAGCATCTTCAGCACACACCCTATTCAAGCCCTCAAACTAAAATTTGAGGGCCGGAGCTAAAAACACAGCTCTAGCAGAGTCCCTACTCAGGTCCCCAAATTTAGGTGGTTCTCAAACTAGCCCCCTCGGCCCTCAATCCCATGGGCGTCCACCCCACCCCCATCCGGCAGTTGGTTGTTGTTCTGGCTCCCGCTCCCGCTCTTTTCCCTCGTCGCGCCATCCGATCCCCAATGTTTCCATCAAGCGCCGCCCAGATCCGGTGGGGAAGGGGCTGTCGAACACCTCTCTTGTCGCAGCGCCTCCTCCACCGCCCTAGATTCGTAGGGAGCCGCTTCTCCTCCTGCGTCCGGTCTCGTCGTGGCGTCTTTCCCCATGCGTCCGGCCTCCTTCCTCTCGGCACGGGCTCCGCCCTGTTCCTCCTGGCGGTGCGGGCTCCTCCCCGCTCCACCCCGGCGTGGCGAGCTCGGGCTCTTCCCAAGTGGCACGGGCTCCTCCCCGTAGTGGTGCGGGCCACTAGAGAAGCGCGCCGCGCGCGACCTCCTTCCCGTCCGCTGCCCCTGCTCGCCAGAGGTCGAAGCCAATTCCCGACCGCGAGCAAGTCCCCCAGCGTGTCCCTTCCCATCCACCCCCATGGTCGCGTTCCTCTGTGAAGAAGATAAGATGAGGATGATGAGTGGGTCCTATGTGTCATTCTCTCTAAAAATTGATTTGAGGACTCCTGCTGGAGTGCAGGCCAGAAATCAGGGCCTCCAGAAATAGGTGGAGCCCTCAAACAAAAAGTAGAGGGGCTTTGATTTGAGGGCTATTGCTGGAGTTGCGATAATACACTACGCGGCCTCTGAAGGTAGGCGAAGACACTTAACCATTCTACTTTACAGTTATAGCACCATTGGGTCGTAGGAGCCTTTTAGCGATTTTTAGCCTTTTTATTAGGGGGTAAAGTTATCAAGTTACAAGTTGGTTCGGTTTTCAATCTTGAACTAAAAAACAGACAAAAGACACCATCTAGTAGAAACCAGATAAATTTAGTCCTCTGGCTAGTTTCATAGATGGTTTTGTGTTTTTTAATAATAACAAATTGGTATGATCTCTAAAAAATCATAATTTATTTATTTTACTTCAAATAAAATGTTATCGGCTATTTTATGATCTATATATAGTTATTTGGAACTGGTTTATTTCTTTCTAAAACTATTTTATTTAGAACTGGTTGATAACATATTTGGAACAATAGGGAGTAATCTAGAAAAATATCAAACTAGTACTAATTTTCTTCTAAAAATGTTATCTGCTCATTTATGATCTATACAGAGATATTTGGAACTGGTTTATTTGTTTCTAAAACAGTTTTATTTAGAACTGGTTGATAACATATTTGGAACAATTGGGAGTAATCTAGAAAAATATCAAAGTAGTACTAATTTTCTTCTAAAAATGTTATCTGCTTATTTATGATCTATATAAAGTTATTTGGAATTGGTGTATTTATTTCTAAAACTGTTTTATTTAGAACTGGTTGATAACATATTTGGAAGCAATAGGGAGTAATCTAGAAAAATATCATACTAGTACCAATTTTCTTCTAAAAATGTTATCTGCTCATTTATGGTCTATATATACTTATTTAGAACTGATTTATTTCTTTCTAAAACTATTTTATTTATAACTTGTTGATAACGTATTTTGAACCAATAGAGAGTAATCTAGAAAAATATCAAACTAGTACCAATTTTCTTCTAAAAATGTTATCTACTCATTATACACATATTGGAGTTGGTTTATTTTTGTTCCTATTGCTTTATTACTTGTAATCTTGCTCACTATTTATTTAAAACAAATAAGATCAAAACAACTCTAAATAAAAGCACCAACAATTGGATAACATCTTTTGAAGGAAACTGAAACTAGCTACATATTTTTTATGTAAAAGTAAATTAATTATCAACTTTTAGAGATCCAACATGATTTTTATTGTTTTAGATTTAGAAAATAGGAAACCGCATATGAAATTTTGTGGGCCCAATTTTATCTAATTTTGACAGTTGGGGAGGATGTCTGTTACCCAGTTTCTCTATCTGACGATGGCTACAAGGAAGAGACAAGCACACAACATCATTCAAAAACTTGCCGGGGTAAGGGAGCCAATTTGACTCGTCGAGGCTATCAAGATTTTCCTAGCTTTTATTGTAGCAGGCAAGATTACTAGGGATTTCTTGGTGCTACGGAACATCAAACCTGGTTTGGCCAAGCTGATGCGAGACTTTGGCCAAGTAGTGGACTCGTATTTTGAGTTAATCTGTGGTAAAATGCCGTGCGGCGAATGGAACATGGGACCAACCTTTTTGTCCATTGACTCAACCACCGAGCTGCAAATAAGCTCATTCTCTACGGAGCAAAAAATTCTAAAAAAGACAGACTATTGAGTGAAAAACACGTTCTAGATTCTAGGAGTAAGCGTATATCTCAATCCTAGATTACAGTTGATTGATATTGTTATCTTATTTACCAATATGTTATGCAACATGTCATGTATATTTTCTAGCCTTGCATTGATGGTAACAAAAACCTAAGATTGTCTTTTCTAGATACATATCCTTTGTTATGCACCTAGATATACAATATGTCTAAAAACATAGTAAAAGTTGTGTACGTAGAAGAACCAAAACGGAGAGTAAAAAAAAAAAGAACCAAAACAGCCTATAAAATAGAGAATAGAGGGAGTACTATTATTTTCAAGTCTAATCACTTAAATGTGCACTCGAGAATGTGTAGACTGCTCGGACACCATGCTACTATCGCAGCTCCAATGTTATTTTCTAATTGCGTCTTAAGAGAAATATAAAATAAACACATAATCCTAGCAAACATAGGCCATAACTATTATGACTCTCAGAGCAGCTTCAGTGTGGTTGAGAAGCCTTGACTTCCAGTCAATACTGGGTGAGCGAACACGCGCTCCCAACCACACTGAACACGGCCGCTCTCCAATTTCTTAAAATGATTAAAAAATAAAACAGATTGGAGAAAGACGTCTGAACTCTTTTTGTTAGTACAGGTGTGTGATCCTCGAAGCTGGTCTACTAAGATTGATTGGCATGATTATCATCTAGGGTCGTAGGTCAGAAAGAGATGCTTTGGATTATCGATTATGTGTATATATAAAGCCTATTAACTATTAAGGGTTTGTTTAGTTTTAGGATGTAAAGTTCAGGGTGTAAAGTTTTAGGGTGTCATATGGGATGGGGGTGTCGCATGGGGTGTTCGAATACTAATAAAAAAACAAATTATAGAATCCGTTAGTAAACCGCGAGACGAATTTATTAAACCTAATTAATCCGTCATTAGCACATTTGTTACTGTAGCACTTTATTGTCAAATCATGGACTAATTAGACTTAAAAGATTCGTCTCGCAAAGTAGTCATAATTTGTGTAATTAGTTATTTTTAGTCTATATTTAATACTTCATACATGTGTCCAAACATTTGATAGGATATGGCGTAAACTTTTAGGGGAGGAACTAAACAAGGCCTAAATGATGTAACACAGCAGCGTTAAATTACATGATTAGTTCTAGAAGGTCGTAGGTCAGAGGGAACAACACCAGAAACATACTAGTAATTCCATAATCGTGACGACTGGCAAGTTGAGCTAAAAAAAAAAAAAACTGATGCCAATGCAAGCCGCTGACTATAGTTGATATGCTGAACCGGCCTGGTTGCCGGTGTATGGCCGTATAGGTGAGACACGTATATTACTTCCCAGGCCACTGGGCCGCAGGTGAAGAGAGGCGACGACTTCTTGGGATAGCTGGTATAACGCAGTAGTATATTCTTCAACTCGACCTTTTATTTAACTGTATGTAAGTGACATGAGTATACATCAACACCCTCGCAAAAAAAAAAGAGTATACATCAACACCTAAAACCTATTTCAGTTTTTTTTAACCATTTTCTATGCAACTACTTATACATTAGCATGTTTTGAGATCATCATCGTGTGAAGTCCATTTCGAACCATTAGTAATGTAGGCACGTCAATCTTGGCTGTCACTTTAGAAAAGGCAATAGCACGTACGTACGGACACTATTAAGCCCAATTCGAACCATTCCGTTCGTACTACGTAACTTTACAGCGCGCCGCCGCGGTGTTAATCATTTGGCCATCGAAAATCGAAACGAATGGCTTCGTACGCGCACGTACCTGGCCGTCTCGGGCATGGCCATCCTCCAGTAGAAGGTGACGGCGGCGGGTACGGCGCCGATCATGAGTATGATCCGCCAGGCGAGGTCGGCGGCCTCGGGCGTGTCGTCGAGCGGCGCGCGGCGGCCCGTGTAGCGGTCGAACGCGGCGGCGACGGCCATGATGACCATGGAGCTGGCGAGGATCCCGAAGCCCTGCATGGAGAAGACCGCGGCGATGAAGGCGCCCCGCGTGCGGCGGTTGGCGAACTCGGACATGATGGTGGCGGAGAGCGGGTAGTCGCCGCCGACGGCGACGCCGAGGAAGAAGCGGAAGAGGCAGAGGCTGGCGAGCGCGCAGCCGCGGGTGCGGCACACGGAGAAGCCGCTCCCCACGGAGGCGCACAGCATGAGGAGCAGTGACGCGCCGTAGACGCGGCGCCGGCCCGCGCGGTCTCCCAAGGCGCCGAACACCAGGTTCCCGGCCACCGCGCCCAGCAGCGCCACGCCCACGTTGGCGGACACCACGGCGGGCGGCGTGACGCCCGGGCGGGGGCGGCCTCCGTCGTCGTCGACCCTGCTGGGGTCGTCCGCAGGCGCGTAGTAGACGCGGCCGATGAGCTTCATGACGGGCGCGATGCAGAAGAGGTCGTACGAGTCGGTGAAGAGGCCCATGCCGGCGATGACGATGGCCTTGAAGTGGTAGTACTGCGTGCGCGCCTGGTCCAGCGCCGTCAGCACCCGGATCGGCGGCATGTCGACGTCGAGGCCGGCCGGGCGGACGCGCGCGGGACTTGATTAGGAGAGGACTCACTGGCAGTAGGAAAGCAGGCAGCATGATACTGCTTGACTGGCTCTATAAGCCCTTGTTTAGCTCTCTAAACTCTAAAAAGTACACTATGCAAAAAGAAGATTTCTTGTCACATTAAACTTGCGGTATATACATAGCGTACTAAATATAGACGAAATCAAAAACTAATTGCACAGTTTGCTTTAACTTTGCGAGACGAATCTTTTAAGCCTAATTTGTCAATGTTTAAACAATAATTCATAAATACAAATAAAATGCTACAGTAGAAAATCTGCCCAACTAAACACCTCCTAAATTGGCCGGCCGGGCGCGAGGCGCGACCGACGCGAGCCAAACGAATGAATGAATGGCCGTACACGGGCGGACATTGACATGGTGGTGATGGCTACTACCTGAGCGCGGGCGTAGTACGTGATTAAACAAAAGCGGCGCGCCGTGCTCGTTGACATGGCGCGGCTGGCCGTGACGGAACTCAGATATATGCTGGGAAGATGCCATGCCGCTTGCGACTGATTCGCCTACGGGCTTTAGACTATTATACTACGACGAGAGCTGTACCGACCAAGGCGTTTTTCATGCTGCGTGTGCCGAGGAAACTTGATGCAGCAACAGCATGGTAGTTGACACGTAAGGCCCAACAACACCAGTGATCATGCCGTCGATCGCTCTACCGTCGCAATACGGAAGCGAAGGTTGCGGTTGCGGCCTGCGGGTTGTGGGCCCGCGGATGGCAGGTGGTAGCCAAGAAGTGTGCAGTAAGGCGGTCTCCAACAGGAGACCTAAACCCAAAATAGCTATCCAACACATAAAGCTGGACGGAAAACTCGAAGCTCGTTAGCTCGCTCGACTCGCAGCTGGCTGGCTCGGTTCGGCTCGACTCAGTTCGTTAGGATAACGAGCCAAGTCAAGCCTAGGTTTTAGTTCGTTAGTATAACGAGCCGAGCCGAGCTAGCTCGCAAGCTACTCGCGAGCTCAACGAGCTGCATTTCCAGGAAAGAAAGTCTGCAGGCCGCAGCCACCTGTCAGGCCGTCACGCGTATTACTGCAGTCCACAGCCCACAGGCCCCCAGCCCATGCGCACATTGGCACATAACAAACAAAACCCTAAACCCCCTCAGGGGCTCACGCACAGCCGCCTGGCCGCCACAAACTCTCGACTGCAGCAGGGCCAGCACGCGACTGCGGCGACGACGGGGCAAGCGAGACGCCCGACGCCGCGACCGTGAGTCAGGCGGCCGCGACCAGCGCCTCTCCGTCTGCGAGCAGGTCTGGTTCTGGTCCTCACTCGGTCACTCCTCTCTCCTTTTTCCTCTAGATCTTCCTCTACCAATTGTCGAACTGCTACTGACCTGCTGAAACTGCTGTGCTCCAGGCCCTCAGCCGTGGCCATGGAGGGCGAGAATAGTGCATCGCTGCGTCCTCCAAGTTTGGAGTCGAGGAGTAAGCTTTGTGGACGAGGAACTAGCACTCGGTCTTCATCGAATCCCACTAAGTCCATGGACGTGGTGGTATGCTATCTAATTTCCAAATACTAGTTCGTGACTTGAAAGTTGAATTTGCTTGATTCATTGATTGGTCCATAGTTATAGGAATCATTGCTATCCAGATAATGAATTTATCCCAAAAAATGAAGAATGTCATATTTTATTTTTAATGCAATAGCAAACATTAATACATGTATGTTTCTTTATGCAGCCATTGGAGAAAGTTTTAGAAGATGAGGAGGACGATGATAATAGCTTTGACCATAGGGATGATATGTCTGAAAGCCTACCTACAGTTGATGGTGGAAGTGGAAGCCAGAGGGGTGATGAGGTTGATGATGGCACATCAAAGGCTAAGAAGGCAAAGACAGGAGGGAAAAAAATCTGGTGTTACATTGTCTCCCAAGTGCAAGATAGCAAGAGACAAAAGGACTAATTGCTGGAAACATTTTAAGGTTGTCAATGTCCCATCCAAGAAGGAGAGGGGTGTCATGGAGACAAAGGCAAAGTATAAGTTCTGCCATAGGAGTACTTTGCAATTTGCATGGATGAATATGTGATGGAGACATGGACGATGGACCTAATTTGTACTCTATTGCATGTGTATACATATGATGCTTGCTGCTAGCATGTATGATGGATAAATATGTGGTGTATCATGTATGACTCATTGAAATGTATGGTAGTCTCCATTTTACATTTTTTTGTCCCTGGCTCATGAGCCAAACGAGCTAGCTCTAGCTTTTACCCGAGCCAAGCCGAGCTAGTTTTTTAGCTCGTTAGGTATAACGAGCCGAGCCAGCTCGATATCCAGCTTTACCAACATAATACCTCCAACAGAGTACCTATATGAAAGATCCATTTTAGGTGTCAGGAGAGGTATAACCCAAATATGAGTATCCTCTCTTCTAGAGACCCATTTGCAGAAAAGGTTCTTTTTTGTGTCTTGTTGTTGAAGAAGACAAAAATATGTATTGAACTTTTGCCTGTAGCGCTACCCAAACGTGGAATGGATAAATTTTGGGTAACGGTTGTTGGAGACAGTCTAAGTCATCACTGAAGCCTCCTGGGGCTGGAGACTGGTCTTCCATACGGTACAAGGTAAGGTGGGGCCCAGAGATTCACGTATCCTAGCTGTGGTCTCCGGCTCTTGAGTGTCGCGGAGTCGACCACGTTTTGGGCATAGTATCTCCCAGACTCCCACTCAACAACACCGGGAGTCGACCACGTGCAGTTTGGTTCAGAAGAAGGAAACGAACATGCAAATCATTCCCACCCTGTTTGATTAGGCCATTTGTTTGGTTGCTATATATGTACAATGGTTTCTATTCATATTAGATGATACCCATGTGTTGCTGTGAGAATAAACGTGTGGATTTTGCAGCATTATATAGGATAATAGAGCAAGTATATAATAGAGCAACTTTGAATATTAAAGTTCAAAAAAATAGAAAAAGAAAGAGAGGAAATGATTGAATGGCCGACCCTTTTCATCCCAAGGGAACCCTCTTCTGATTTCATTCACGCGGAGAAAAATTGTCGTTCCAGTCCTTTTCGAACCGGCGGACGAAATCGCGTAGAACAAAAGTCCACGATTGATCTCCAAAGCTCTAGCAAAAATGCCTTTCCTATGATCTTGGCCTCTTTGTCACGGATGTCCTCCCACATCGATCTCCCGCATCCCCTCCAAATGGAGCTCGGCCATGAGCATCGGCGGCATGCGGGTGAGCTCGGCCACTTGCAACGGTAGCGCGCTGGCGAGCCTAGCGAGCCGCAGCGACATGTCTGGGCAAGGCATGAGTGGAGTGCATCATCGTGGTGCTATGCCTATGTTGACGGTGAAAATGTCACAAATTCACACACTCAACACCGTCAACAGCCTCGGTTTCAAAGGAAGAGTAACATGACATGAACATATTTTTACCAATAACAAGTTCCACTTGTACTTTGAGCATGTGTATGCAGGATGTCACAAAACTGGAGAAAATGAGCATGTGGATCCACCATATGGGGGTCGCTCGACCCCCTATGGGCCCACCAGGCCCTGCCAAGGTGGCAGGATCCATGTGAAGTATCCTGGAGACAATCCCCACCCTTGGATCACACTTGTGTTTTCTCTCAAGGGTGGAAGATAAAGTCACATGGATTCATGGACCCACAACGAAGCATACAACATGACAAAAGTGGCCAACCACACACTATGATAGTGGGCCATCCTTCTAGAAGGGGAGACTTGTCCCACCTGTCATAGGGGGGGTCGGTCGATGCCCCTATGGTGCCAACTGACGTCCATCTCTCACCCACCGCCTTAGTGCATGATGCCTCCATGCACTCCAATGATCTCAACCCTTGATTTAATGGCAGTTTGATCCAATGGTGTTTGATGGAAGTCACATAGATCGCTGACATGGCGCTAGGCTCCACCTCCACCTATAAATAGAGGGTCACCCCCCTCTCCATTCATGGTGAAGAAGCCTACAAGCTCAAGTGAAGAGTAGTTAGTCCACTTTATCTTAGTAGTGTAGTCTAGTGTGGGAGTTAGAGTTGAGTTGTGAGCTTTGCTCAGGTCTTCCGGAGCAGTCTTCTAGAGAGTCTAGTATAGCTCTTGTACCTTTCCATTTATTTTTGTAAGACTTTACTTTATTCAATATATTACTCTTTCTCTACTTTACTTAGTCTTTACTTTGTGCAATATTATACTAGTTATAGTATTGTTGTGGCTTATCTTGTCATATAGTTTTTACACACTAGATTGTGATCTTGGAAACACACCTGCATTGCGATCATCGCCTATCATAGGGTGCTCTAGTTGCCCTGAGTAATTACGACTAGAGTAGTCAGAGAAGGTGTAAGCGTGGTGCTTATACATTATCTTGCATTTGGTTACTATTTGTTGCACGAATGGATTGTGGTAGCTAGTAGGTGGTGATAGCCCTGTCTAGCCTTTGTAGTCCACCATGTGTTGTAGGCAAGTTCTTAAAAGTTAAGGCCCCCCATAAAAAGGTAGCCGCTTCGGATAGGGTTTCATCCCCTATTGTTCGCCTATCGCCTAGCATGCTTGTTTTGAGGTATCAATTCGTGTGTCGCAATCGTGTGATTTGGTAAAGTTACAGGAGTAGAGTTAGAAACATAGCACTACTATAGATTGATTTATCACTATCGCCACTTTCACTGCCGTAGCGATAGAAGCGACGGTGTGATACTTGCACCGTCGGTTGGAACGATAGCGAGGCCTCCTAGGACTAAAACCGATAGTTCAGACTTCTACCACCAACGGGTTAACGATAGATGCGGCAGTGATATTGGGGTTGCATTTCCTTCATCGCATGAAAAGCCAGGCCAACTGGGATATGCATTTTGCTCACCGGCCCTAAAGTAGCGTTTGGTCAACCGGCGGTAAATTCAATGTGAGTGTTGAATTGCCTCAACTTCCAAGGCCATCAATTCACCATTACTTTCGC